CATCTTCACCAACACTTGGTATGTCAATAATTTTACTTTCAGCCACATATACCTTATGTCTGTGTATTAATTTTCTTTTGCTGTGTAACAAGTTACCGTAAATCTAGTGGCTTAAAACAGCACCCATTTATTGTTTTATAATTCTGAGATCAGAGGTTCACCATGGCACAACTGGGTTCTGTTCAGTGTATCACAAGGCTGAAATCAAACTGTCGTCCAACCATGGAACAACTGGGTTCTTCTGTTCAGGGTATCACAAGGCTGAAATGATACTGTTGCCCAGTCTGAGTTCTCCTCTGGAGGTTCTGGGGAAGAGTCTGCTTCCAGGCTATTTAGGTTGGCAGAATTCAGCTCCTTTCTGTTGTAGGATTGAGGTCTGTCAACTTGCTTACTGGGGCACTTTTAGCTCCAAGAGGCTGCCTGCATTCAATACCACGTGGACCCTCCATCTCCCTTGTATTGAATTCCTCTCATGCTTTGAATTTCTAACTTTCTTCTTAACACCAGCTGGAGAAAACTGCATTTAAAGGGCTCTTACAGTTAGATCAGGCCCACCTGGATAATCTTCTTGTCCTAAGGTCTACTGATTTGGGACCTTAATTACATGTGCAAAATCCTTTTGCAGCAATACCTAGTGTTTGATTGAATAACTGGGAGAAAATGTATGTATATGAGAGTTTGGGATTTCAAAGGGCTGTGTAAGAGTGCTGTCCTCTGCATATTCTTTGCTCTGTATCTTCAATAGTGCTTGGTCTAACAATTTTTAAATTTTCGCCATATTAGTTGCACGTATAGTGTATCTTGTGGTTTTAATTTGCATTTCTCTAATGTCTAATGATGTTAAACATCATTTTCGTGTGCTTATTTGCTATTATGTATCTTGTTTTGAAACGTCTATTTGAGTCTCTTTTTTTTGGTATATTGATATTCAGTTGTTCTAGCACCATTTGTTGCAAAGATTTTTTTCACTATTGAATTATCTGGACACCTTTGTTGAAAGTCGTATGTATGTGTTTTTGTGTTTACTTTATCCATTGATCTTTGTCTTTTCTTAAACCAGTATCACTCTGTTGATGACTCTAGCTTTATAATCTTTGTAATAATTCTTTGTCAGATAGTATAAATTCTTCAACGTTGTTCTTTTTCCTTTTTTTTTTGGTGGCTGGTTGGAAGGGATATCTGAACCCTTGACCTTGGTGTTATCCGCATCACACTCTACCAAGTGAGCTAACCAGCCAGCTCTAAATTTTTTATTGAGTTGAAATTCATAACAAAATTAACCATTTTAAAGTGAACAGTACAGTGGCATTTAGTACATTCATAATGTGCATTCACCACCTGGTTCCAAAATATTTTTTATCACCCCAGAAGGAAACCCTTTAGCCATTAAGCTACTCCCCATTTCCCCTTCCCCCTGCACCGGGCAACCACCGATCTGCATCTGTCTATATGGATTTACCTCATGATATTTCATATAAATGGAATCATAAATATGTGGCCCTTTGTCTCTGACTTCTTTTACTTGCTAGACTGTTTTGAGGTTTACCCATGTTATAGCATCCTGTTAGTTTTTTATTGGATGTTATAACATTGTGAATTTTATGGTGGTGTGCTGAATTTTGTGTTATTCCTTTAAAGAATGTTAGTGTTTGTTTCGGTATACATTTAAATTACTTAAAATCAATTTGGTCTTTTTGAGGCTGCATTTAATCTTTCTTAAGGTAAGTCCACAGCAGCCTTTAGTTCATGGCTAATATAGCCATTCTGAGGACTCTACCCCAGTGCCCTGTGCATTTAAAGGTTTCTCCATTCTGTTGCATGGGAACAGGAGCTATTCCCAGCTCTGTGCAAGCTCCAAATATTGTTCAGTCTGCTACTAGTTTTTTTCCCTGGCCTTGGGAACTTTCCTAAGAAACTTATGCAAAGACTGGAGGGGACTTTTCTACAGATCTCTGATGGTCTCTATGTACCTTCCTTCCCTAAGGTACTCTTCCCCACAGATCTAACCTTCTTGGCCTCCTAAACTCCGTGTGTCTCTCACTTTTTTTTTTTTTTTTTCCTTTTTGTCTTTTTTCGTGACCTGTAACGGGATCGCAACCCTCGGTGTCGCGCCCGCACCGTGCTCTACCAGTGAGCGGACTGATCTCTATATGGGATCCGAACCCTCGGCGGGAGCGCCGCCGCACTCCCAAGTGCTGCACTCTACCGAGTGCGCCACCGGGCCGGCCTGTCTCTGACTTTTTAATTTAGCAACACCATGGGCTCTGTTCCTATTCCCACTTCCTGTGCTGCAACCTAAAAATTTCTTCTAGACAGTGTGCTGGGACAATCCTAGGGCTTACCTCTTATTTCCTTATTTATATTAGTGATTACAGATAATGTCTGAAAAATGTTTCATACAATTTTTATGATTTTTACTAGCTTTTTTTTTGTGGTGGTAGAATAGTTCCCATAGCATTACTCGGTCATGGGTGTTACTGAGTTTTTAATCAGTATAGTAAAAAGGAAAGTCCATCTTAAACTTCAAGCAAGTAGATTTATTTAAGGACCTTGTCATCAAGTGATCTTGCCAATGACTTGGTCATATGGTACAGTGTTTAAATTCTATAGGCTTTCTTATTATATAAATTTAAAACATGGTTGTTAGCTTTAGAATTTTTTCCATATTTAGATATAATTTTATGGCTTTCTTTAGTTGAGAAGTTCTCTTAGTAGTTAATGCCAATACATTATTGGGATCAACAAGCTATAAACCACAGGCCAAACCTGAACAAAACAATTACCATAGAAGCTCAAGAAGCTCAGGTAGGAGGGAGGAAAGCTCCAAAACTACTTTTACTAATGACTAAGCATGATTGTGGGCCAAACTATATTGAATATTGAGAAAATCGTCTTTATACTGCCATGTTTTGCTTTGATTGCTTTAATTTTTTTTTAAATGGAAGGCAAAACTGTGAAGACATTTGAACAATACAGAATATGGTTAAAAAAAAGTGAGGGGTATAGGATAGAAATGGTGGTGCTGCTTTAGATAGTGACTACAGAGATAAGAGTTTTCTTAATTAAAGGGTTTTATGTGGCTTTTTTCTAAAGAGTGTGGATTTTTATCCTGGAGGCAGTGGGGAGCTACTGAATTTTAGCAAGGACATGATGTGGTCAGCTTTGGACAGACTGAGGTTGCAATGACCATTTGGATATATGGGTTCCAGATTTAGGAGAGAGATGAAGTATTCAGTGTGGGTGGAAAACCCTATAAGAGCTCTAGCCTGGCTCTGGTCCTTGGGTCTTGTGGATGCTGGCTAGCTGTGAGTGAAACAGATAAATAGGGGAGATGGATGGTATCATTTATGAAGAATTGATAATACTGTGAAAGTTTTAGTGGGCTGGAGAAACAAAGACATGGTTTTAAAATCCTGCCTGAAACTACCACATAACACCTTTTACTTTCAACAGTAATTAAAAAGACAAAACAAAATGAAAACAGTGATGATGCAAAGTGTAGTAAATGACAGTATACTCTTGAGAGGCTTGCAAGAAACATAACTAAGGTAGAGCAGAATAAGGGAAAAAAAAGAAGAATTTAAAAAATTGAAGTATGTAAGAATATGTGAGGCAGTAAAGCTAGGAATCACGGTTAAGAATATTAAGATCAAGTAACGTGCAAAATAAGCAGAAATCCATTTTTACTCATTAATATTGTCAAGCTTTTTATTGTTTGCTGTTTCTTTTAGCCTTACTTTAATATACATTGATATTTAAAGTGACCTAAAATTAAATTTACCAGCTCTCTTGCAATTATCTGCTGTAACTTGTAGGGTAAAGACTAGATATTGGCAACATGTCAAGAATTAGGGATGCTAATTTACTGAAAAACTTTTCTTAGACCTTAAGTTTACACAGTATTAAACATACTCTGAAGAGTTTAAAAGCCAACCAGACATACCAAACTGTTTTTTTTCCAGGTGGTTTTGAAGAGGAGCTTAGGATGTATAAGTATATTCAAATATTCCAATGTTAATCCTCTTGTTCACTTACTGCTATTTAATTGCTAGGCAGGGTCAAGATTAGATAAATATAATATAGAGTGCTTGATACTCAGTTTACCACCAAACTTTAAAAACTCAATTACATTACTTTAGGTTCTTTGGCCTTTTTTAAAGGTTTTCATGATTCTACCTCGGTTAGTCTGTTACTCGACATTTTTACTGTTTTAGATTTAGAGCTACTACTACTGCTAATCAAATGCTGTGATCTTTCGCCAGATATTTCACAGCCCTGGGTGTAGTCCTTAAGAGATGTTAAATATAGGCAATGGCCCAGGTCTGTAGTTTTTCTAAAATACCTTTTCCCTCAAATACATTTCACACAGAATTCTAGTATAGAAAACAGTTGGGTTTACGTTTTTTTTATAAATTATAAGTTCAGATAAATTGTTTTAACTTTCAGTTTATCCATGAGATAAGACTTCTCATAAAAGAAAAATTGGGTTTCAAATGGTTGGCTGGCTGTCTTATATAGGGCTCACCTTCTTGTTAATATTTTTCTTATTTTGGTTGCACAGCATATAGAATATTCTGTTTCAATGCAGGTATATATGGTAATAGGTTTTTGTTTTTTCCTTTTTAACAGCTCACTTTGCAGTCTCAGGAAACTCTTCAATTAGATAGAAATGGTAGGAAAAACTTTATGTTGAGCCCTTTCCTAAAGTGAGTTCATCCAGCAAAACAAGTTAGATCACTGACAGTCTCCAGGGTGAAAATTTGGTATAAAGCATGTTTAGGATATTAAAAATATTTAAAATCTATTTTAATCAAATGTTTGCATAAGTCCTAAGTATCTGAGCCACAACTCAGACAGTTTGATTCAGGAGCTCTTTCTACTGTGTTGTGTGACTTATTTTCTTACCAGTTTTTTAAAAGTGTAAAGGTAATTTATAATCTAGACATATTCATTTATGGCTTATTTTCCTATGTTTTGTGATTTTAAATATTTAAGTTTAGTATTTGAAAGAAATTTGTGCCAATTTTGTGACTGATCGTTTCTTTTTTTTCCACCAGGGAAATGAGGCAAGTTACCCTTTGGAAATGTGCTCACACTGTAAGTGATTATTCTTATGAAGAGTTTCTTTTATTCACACATCTACATATATGTATGTATGTATATTATATAACTCTATAATATATATTTACTTATTTACATAGCAAAGTTAGCCCTTAACTATTTTAAATGGATAGTGAATTTGACATATGGTCTTTTTAAGTTACCAGAGTAGGGCAATTTTTTAAATAGATTTCTTTATTGTTAATATCTGCACTACGCCAAAGTTACAATAACTCCCTAAATTTCAGTGACTTAACCTGACAGAAGTTTTTCGGTTAACAAAGTTTCGAAGTGGATTTGTAGGAGCTCTTGTCTTTTTGGTGACTCAGTGATCTGGGCTCCCTTGTCTTATAATGCCACCATCTCTATGCATGATTCTCAAGATCACTGGGAAAGAAGGAAACGCAGGGACTTGCAGAAAGTGCTTTTAATCTGCCGTGGCCGAGAAGTGACTTAATTTACTTATGCTCATTTTATGGGTCTAACTTACTTATGCTCATTTTATGGGTCAGAACTAGTCGCACAGCCCCACCGAACTGCCATGGGGCTGGAAATTATAGCTTTCCATATATTCAGGAAGGAGAAACAGATAAGGCACACAGCATCCATTAAATGTTTTTTTTTTTTTTTTTAACAAATGGAATTACTAACTTTTTTTTTAGTTTTTTAAATCCTGAGGATAGGGGTAGGGGTGATTCTCTGTCTTTATCTGACTGAACAGAACATTTCCAGAATAAAAGTCGGTTATCTAAAATCTTTTTTTGATATTTAAAATGTTTTAAGTTTGAAAAAGGTCCTATGTTTTCATACATGCTATGCTGTATTAGGGTTCTCCAGAGAGACAGAATCAATAGGATATATTATAATTATATGAGAGGGATTTATTAGGGGAATTAGCTCATGTGACTATGAAGAAAAGTCCCACAATAGGCCGTCTATAAACTGGATGCTGGTAGCATGGCTCAGTCCAAGTCCAAAGGCCTCAGAAACAGGGAAGCTAATGGTATTCTTGGTGTAAGTTCTGGAACCCAAAAACTGAAGAGTCTCAAGCTGATGTCCATGGACAGGATAGAAGAGTGTATCCCAGCTCCAATGGATCGAGAGAGAGCGCTTCACCTCTTTCCTCTGTCTTTTGTTCTCTTTGGACCCCCAGTGGATTGGATGGTTCTCACCTACACTGAGGGTGGGTCTTTCACACCCAGGCCACTTAGACTCTCATACTAATCTCTGCTGGAAACACCCTCATGGACACACCTGAAAAGATTGCTTTACCAGGTTTCTCAGCATTCCTTTATCTAACCAAGTTGACATCTAGAATTAACCTTCACACATGCATTTGATGGAAGCTTAATATTTGAAAGACTGGATGTTAATTTAGAGTTTATTCATAATTTGGTATTTAAAAATAAAAGGTAATGATTTAATTACTCTTAAGTTCTTGGTCATACTGTTCTTATACATTCCAGTTTTATTAATTCAGTTCTGTATGCTCTCCTCTTTCCTCACTTGCTTCCCCCTACACCTTCAAATCCTAATTTGTTTGTATCCTCTGAGCAACTTTATTCTCTTAATTATTTTAGTTGCTTTCTATACGCTCTTGTTGTAGTATGTCAATTGTTGTGGAACCCAGAATTTCATGTTATATTACCAAGGGTGGTCAATATCATTCAGACCTCCTTCCGGTATATAGAAACTTTAAAACTGACAAGTACATAATATCCCAGATTCCTTTACAGCCAGGGATCTTTTTTTTTTTTTATAAAAGGAAGTGTTCATAGGCCAGCAGCCAGGGTTCTTAATGTAACTTTATTTCTGCCACAGATATGTTCATGTGAGATTTGGATTGTAGAAGTGAGTTGGAGTTCGTTCTTTTCCTGTTTTTTACTGTTTTTCCTGGTAGGATTCTAGCTGTGACTTAGATTTTTTTGTGCAATGTCTGGACCTTTCAAATTCACTTGCATCTTCCTGATTGTAGTATAGGCAGTATTTCTTTTGATGGCCCAGTTCTGTAGTGTGGCTTTGTAAATTGTTCCTAAAAGTTCAACCCAGAATCTGTGTTTTTTAGCTTTCTAACAATTTCTAGCATTGAAAAATAATTTCTGCTTCAACTAGATAGAGTTTCATTTTGTTGTCTGTAGTTGAACCTGAATAATAAAATAATTCCAGGAATGGTATAGGTGGCACACTCTCAATTCTGGATTGGCTATCTCACCTGGTTGGATTTGAAGGTAGTGATTATGAAAAAATGGAACATTGGTAGTCTGTGGCACATAGTGGAGTAAACAGTTAACTTATTTATCTTGTGGTTGTTTATTGAAGGCAAAACTTTGACAGACCAAATAGCTATTATAAAAGTTTTCTGGGGAGAATGAGGAGTATAAGGAGCATGGATATGCTGGTTACTTCTGACTGTACTGAGATTCTAAAGAAAGAAAATGAGAATTTAGAAATTCTTGATTCAAGGACCAATCAGATGGCCAGGATGCTTATGTGAATTCATTGGGGGGGAAAAATCACAAGATGTTTTGTGTGAAAGGGCAATGATTGGGAAAGATAGAGATCCTGAGAATTGGAATGGATACTGTTGATAGATTAAGATATCACGAGGTTTTGGAACTCCCAAACCATTCTGAGCCTTCCTTACCAGCAGAAACAGCCTATTCAGCCCCTGTTTGATGAGGCTGGTCCTGCTTCAATGGAGACCTCTTAAACCTTGCAATAAGGTGTCGCATGCCTTTTGTATTGTTAAAACCATTTTCCCCATTGCTCATTATGTTTCAGCAGTCTCCTTTCTTTTCCCAAAACACATGTTAATTTCTTCATTCCCATCACTGCCTTTGCTTGCTTATGAATTTGGGTGGAATGCTCTTTTTTCAGCTGTTTACTTGGGGAACTCCATTCTCCTTCACCTCTAGGTATAAGTGATGTTTTCTATCACTCCTTACTCTCCTTGGATTCTGTTATGAGTAGCACCCTGTTTATTTTCTTTAGAGCAGTTACCATAAACTGAAATAACTTATTAATCCATTTTATCTTCCTTTTTGTAAATTCTGCAATTTTTAAAAATTTTTTAAAAGATGGTAGTATCCATGACCCATAATACTTCCATCCCAGCCAGTATTTACATTTTAATTTTTTATATATGAAGGTATGCATGTTTTTCTTTTAAACGTGAAGATATATTGTTACATACAGAATATTGTTAGGATTGACCAAAAACCAGACCTGATTACGACTCTGTAGATCCCGGGGTTGGTAAACTACTGTCTGCTGGCAGTTTTTATTAATAAAGTTTTATTCAAACATAGCCATGCCCATTTGTTTACATATTGTCTGTGGCTGCTGTTGTGCTGCAATGACAGAGTTGAGTAGTTGCAACAGAGACCATATAGTTGACAGAGTCTAAAATATTTACTACCTGACCTTTTATAGAAAAAATTTGCTGAACCCTGTTATAGACTATAGTGGTTTTTTTCATTTGAGAATTATCATTGCTGTCACTACTACACAGCTAACTTCATCTCTGAAATATGGTCAAGGCAGAACTTATAGACTGGTGCTCACGTAGAACTATAATTCTTGTTTCTGGCAAAGTTAATGTATCAGTTTTATAGGTTCTCTAGAATTGAAAGAGTTTTGCTCATAATTGTATTTTGCCACTAACTATATAGTTTCAGCATGTGACATAATTATTCCTCTGCTTGCTAGTGGAAAAAAAGAGGTGTGGAAGTCTGTAATTAGCTAGGCTTCAGGCTGCAGTAGAGTTGAGATTTGTTTTTTTTTTTTTCCTTTTTGTCTTTTTTCGTGACCGGCAACGGATCGCAACCCTCAGTGTTGCGCCTGTACCGGACCGGGACCGGCAACGGGATCGCAACCCTCGGTGTTGCGCCCGCACCTCGCTCAGCCAGTGAGTGGCCGGTCTGTATGTGGGATCCGAACCCTCGGCGGGAGCGCCACCGCGCTCCCAAGCGGCGCACTGTAGCATTGCCTCACCGGGCCGGCCCGAGATTTGTTTTTTTTTGTTGTTGTTTTGTTTTTATTTATTTTAACTTATCAATATACAATGTAGTTGATTTTCATGTCCCTTGACCAGTTCCTCTTTCGCCTTCCCTCTCCCCCCAATCAACATCATATCTGTTCACTTGTCATAACAAGTTCAAGGAATTGTTGTGATTGTTGTGTCTTCCCCCATTTATTTGTTTATTTATTTTTAGCTCTCACAAATAAGTGAGAACATGTGGTATTTCTCTTTCTGTGCCTGACTTGTTTCACTTAATATAATTTTCTCTAAGTGCATCCATGTTGCTACGAATGGTAGTATTTCATTCTTTTTTATAGAAGGGTAGTATTCCATTGTGTAGATGTACCACATTTTCCTTATCCACTCATCTGATGATGGACATTTGGCCTGGTTCCAACTCTTGGCTTTTGTGCATAGTGCCACAATAAACATAGGAGTGCAGATATCCCTTCAACATGATGATTTCTGTTCCTCTGTGTATATATCCAGCAGTGGAATAGCTGGATTGTATGGTAGATCTATCTGTAATAGTTTGAGGAACCTCCGTACCGAGATTTGTTGTTGATAGTACAACTCTGACAAGAATGATGTACTAGGAAGTTAGTTTTTATATCTCAGTCAAGGAACAGAGGTCCAAGGGAACCATACTTCCCAGATTCTTATCTCCTGCTCTCTCTTTAAATCTGGGACTGAGGGTCATTTCTGGTTGCAAAAAAAAATGTACTAGTGCAAAAGGCAGATGGATATTCCTTGTGTACATCTGGGATAGCAAAAGCCAAGTTATTTTTATATTTGAAATAAATTTCATACACTATTAAAGCTGTCCATTTCAATTTTATCCTTAGAACTTAAGTTTTCTTTCTTATTACTGTATCCATGCTTTGATGGACCTTGTCACTAAAGATTTCTACTTGTCAGTGATTGTTCAACCAGCTGTGAATCTATCCAAATTCTTCTGTTGTCCATTATATGGTTT